GTTGTAGTCAAGAAAATGTCTCAGAGCACTTGTTGAATGAAAAACAAATATTTTTCATCAACTAATTTAACTTTGCTTTTAGACATACCCAAAGTGAACCACTTTGTTCAAAGTGTGCACCCTGTTTTGGAGAAGTCCACAATGAGACAACGTGTGAACAACATTCCAAGACAAAAAGAAATTGTTTGTCTCAAAAAACCAGGTATTGCAGCTTCAAAATAAAAAATCAAATAAATGTATATAGCAACATTTCTGACACTGCTTTTCACTTTTAGAAGCACCAAAGAAAACTGTGGGGACTAAGAGAAGCTCTGGTAACTCCTGTAGAGGTAATCTATTGTCAGTTTAATAATAATTTATTAAATAATTATAAAAACTAAAATGTGTCCAAATATCTGCTTTTTTGTTTAAGCATTATTTTTTTTAGACCCAACACTTGCTGTAATTTCGACCCATGTTTCGTCCCTGCAGGATTTGTGTGGTACCTGTGGTGGTTGATTTTCCTGCTGATGCTCATTTCCGCCACTTTGCTCGCGTACAGGATCCTCCCTGTGCTCCAAAGAACAGCAGACAAAGAGGGATATCAATCCAGGGAAGTGCAGCCGGGAGTCTTCTCTGATCGCTTGTCACTTCTTAAGACTCAGTTCCCCAGTCAGAGACCTGAGCTGTGGAGGAGGAGCGGGATCCACCTGGAGAAGCACCTTAAAACAGCCCAGCCAACAGAGCCGGTCAGTCTGATCTTCACGGCGGGCCTCGGGGCTAAGCGGACACTAGACTGCTTGGCTCGCGGCTTGGCCTCCGCCTACTCGTCAGCCCTCAACGCCTCCACCCTCCACCTGGACGGAGCGAGCAAATCCGGCCGGGGCAGCGACGAGGTGAAGCTGGACATTGACGATCAGCTGACAGCGGCGTTTGAGGGCGATAAACCAGCGGCGGTCATTCATCGCTTCGAAGAGCTGCCCCCGGGCTCCACCCTGATTTTCTATCGCTACTGCGACCACGAGAACGCCGCGTACAAGCAGGTGTTCCTGTTGTTCACCGTGCTGCTGCCTCAGGATGAGATCAAGGGTAAGCTGAGTCTGGAGGAGGTGGAGGAACTGGTTCACGACTATGTTGAGAGGAAGCAGGTGGACYCCACAAGCAATGCTGGCTTCAGCGACATGGACGTCGACAAGTTTAGTGGACTGTGGAGCCGCATTTCTCATCTGGTTCTACCCGTGGTGCCAGAGGCGTGGATGGAGCAGGAAGGATGTCCATAAAACTTAAGGATTCCTTGTTACTGCAGAGAATTTTAAGATGATGCAAAAGAAACATGTAAAYTGTGATATTTTGTATACAGACTTAAAGGTTTTAAAAGATGTGTTGATATTTCTCTGTCAGAGCTGCAGATGTATATTTTTAGTTTTTAAAATCAATGCGCTGCGACAGTTTTTATATTGGACACAAAAGCATAAAGATATAATATCAGTTTTTRCCAAGTCACAGTTAGCATTTATAAACTTTTGTTCAATTTAATCTTTTTTTATGTCTTTCTCTTCATTTGTCTTCAGCAGGAATCTTACTTTTGTTTTTTGCATGTTTTCAGTTCTATATCTTCTTCCCGCAGCAGCTGATGGACATATATACTATCTTCATGTTTTGGTTTAAACTAAAACTTCCCAGAAAATGTCTACTGTTTTTGTTACATGTGTTTGTCTTACCCAGAGTACTGGCTTTTATTGAAATCTATTGTGAATTTTTTTGTACTTTCCTGAAGATGTATTTTGATGACTTGACACTTAGATCATAATATTTTTTCAGATAGCTGTATATATTAGATATTTAAAGATTTGAACTTTGCATTTGTTGTTAAGAAAACATCAGAATAGACTGAAAATATGCTTAAAATATTCAGGTTTGTATGAAGTAATAAAACAGTTTTTTAACCCATCACAYTCACAAATCTTTTTGATGGTAAAACTGAATACTGTAACGGTTGATCTTGGTTTTAAATCCTTCGTGACCACTTGTTCTTATAATTTTGTGTTACATGTAAATGTTTTCATTAAAGTTTATTTTGATACTTTGAGTTATTTTTAACACTTCTTATTAAGAATCAGGACTGAAAAAAACACAGTTTAATAGGGCTGGGCATAAACAATACAATATATAGATTTTAAAAACAAAAAGCTGCTCTAGTGATATTCTGTCTTTTAATGTTGATACTGTCAGCCTATAGAGGGCAGCATTGCTATACATTTCTTATACATAATATATAATCTAGATCGGTGGTTCCCTATCTTCTGACCTGCAAAATATTCATGGCAAAAACTTGTGACCCCAAATATTACTGGTCTGAGTACATGAACTTTGTTAATAACCCTAAAAACACAGGCTTTTTGACAA